AGAGAGAGAGAGAGAGAGAGAGAGAGAGAGAGAGAGAAGATAATGAATTCAAAATGTGGTTAGTATTTTGTATAACTTGATAAAAATAAAATGTTATTAAAGGAAGTGGCCTAGAGGTGAATATGAGCTTTCTGGGGGTGAATGGGGCAAGTGGACCAAAGATCACATTCTAGGGCTAATGATCTTTAGTCTCTGACACTGAAAAATATAAGTATACTGTTAAGGCTGGTTTTAGGAACTAGGAACATCAACCTTCTATGACATTGTTTAGTCCCCAACAAGAACTTTTCTTAGGTGTCTGAAAAGTAGAAGTCTCATTTTTCAGATCTTCAGTTTTTGGACAATTTTTTTTTTCCCAAAATAGTCCTTTCTTATTTTTGAGCATGTAGGAAGAATGAATGTACTAAGTCAAAAATTTAAAAACAAATTTTTTTTGAAAGTTTAAAAACACATTTTTTAGATTTTTTTCTTAAAATGAAATTCTTTGCCCACATGTGAAGCTACTATATTTAAAAAATGATTGAGTAGGAGGTAGTAAGTAATCTCATCCCCTTATATCTTATCTTGCAATAAGGTATTGCAAAAGAATGTTTTCACACTTTGCCAATTATGTTAGAAAGACCCGAAGCTATCTATTTACATAGAAAATTAAAATGTAAGTGTGATTACATTTCTCATCAGTATTGTAGCTATCTTCAAACTTTAATCAACTTTGAAAATTTAATTCCAATGGAATGAAGACAAATTCACAATGATTCTTTAGTTCAAACATTTTGAAACTTTAATGTCATAAAAATATGAAAGCTGTTGGCTTAATAAAACTTGAAAGCCAAGTAAAAACCACTAGGCTTTTAAAAAGCAGATTGTTTAAAAGTGCGTGTATAGATAAAATGAAACCAACTCATGGACTATTGAGTCTGGAATTTTCAAATCATAAATTTTATCCATGTAAATAAAACTTCACTAACAAAATCAGGGCCTGCTAATTTCTTTCTTTCCTGATCCGAAACTTAAGTTTAATGTGCACAGAAAATTAAGGGTGCCATGTTTATATTTATTAACATAATGTAACTGTTTTTGAGAGTCTGGAGTAAAATCAGAGGCAGCTACACCTTCTGTTACTGCAATGTAGGAAAACAGTTAAGAAAGAAACACAGATTTTATTGAACTACAAAACTCAAATTTGTGTTAGGATTTGTTCTTTCTTGCAATAGTGGAGAACAGAACCCTCTGCATTTCACCCAAAATCTACACAGGACATCTCCACGTTGCAAGAGGGGGAGAGGGTGTAAAATGTTACAAGGTGAAAGGTATGTAAAATCATCCAAATCTCCACCATGCCATTTTACAGATGAGGAAACTGAGACTTAGAAAGGGGAATACTTTGCCAGACCTCAGCTGCACATACCGAGATATAGGAATCACAGCAGCAAAATATCTACTTCGACGTTTTATGGGTTCTACAATTCGCATAACAAGTCTTAAAGAACTTAATTCGTGCATTTTCCTTATAAACATCTCTTGGATTTTAACCATTGTCCTTCCCTCAAATAATAGCTGCAGAAAACCTTCAACTCTCTGAAGGCAGGGCTCTCTTGCTCCAGACGACCATCTCCAGAGCCTAGAACTTATTTTCTACCTTACTATCTCCACTGCCCCGTTATCCACCCAGGCAACCCCAGACAAATTAACAAATTGGAAATCTCTTTTCTTGAATCTTGTATTGAATAATTCAGGGCCAAGAAACCGGCCTGGGGTGGATAGCGTGGCCATTTCCAGGAGCTAAGGACTGATTAAGTGGCCATTTGAAGGAGTGTCTCCGGAAGAGCTGGGTGTGCACGCAGCATCGCCTTCGGCCACAGAGGGCCCAGGTGTGCAGCTGCTTTGGCGGCCTGAGAGGCTGCTGCCCCGGGCCGCTGCTCCCCGGCCGCCTGCAGATAACCAACTTCTCAAACTTCCCTTTCCGGGGGTGAGGGCTCGCTTCGATCGCGGCCAACAAAACGCCTTTCCTGCTCGCACAAAGGGGGCCAGACATGCCTTGCGCCCCCTTGCAATTGAACTTTTCTTCTCTTTTTCAAGTAAAACCCCCACATGCCTGCGGCCACAGGCTGCTTGGGTGCCGCCCGGACAAACTTTCCCGGTTTCGGCCGGAGTCCCGGGATCCCGGGGCCGACTGTCAAGCGCAGCGAAGGGCTGAGAAGCCCAAGAGAACCCAGGCGCCTCGCCCAACCCAGGCTGGGGGCCACTCACCCGACTTCTGAACATGCGGTGGGATCGTGCTGGCGATGCGCGTCCACAGGACGATGTGCAGCGGCCACAGGCCCCTGAGCAGCCCCCGACCCATGGCAGACCCAGCTGCTCGTCATAGACCGAGCCCAGAGCGCAGCGGACGGAGCCTTCCCAGACCCCTGGCTGCGCCTCCGCGCCGCGCCCTCTCTGGACCCCCGCGCCGGGCGGGCCGGACAGATGTGCCGGCCAGATGTGGTGCCCGCTCGCCAGCGAGGAGGGCGCCTGGAGGCCGGCGGAGGCCCCCGGCGGCCGAGGCGAGCTGCGCAGGAGGCCGGCTCCTGCCCCGAGCGTGTGCGCGCGCGGGGGTGTCGTCGGTCGGTGCGCGCGAGTGACTCACAACTTTACCCGGGCGCTGGGCGGGGGAAACAGGAAACTCCTCGCCAACAGCTGGGCAGGACCTCTAGCCGCCAGAGAGCCTTCTCCCTCTCCTCGGCATCCAGCCTTGGCTCTCTCCTAGCTGCCAATCATGTCCCCAAGACCGGCCCCTGCGAGGACTTTGGCAAACTTTCAGCTGCCCCTCACCGCCCTCCCACATCACCCAGGAGTTCCTCTGGCCCAAGTATTTACTCAGGAGTGACTAAGTGCATGCATTTCACAAACTACCAACATGGAAAGTGTCTGCACTTTCCATAGCACCCCACGAAGCATCTCCTCCCTCCTGGTAACCTTCTCTGGGTTGTTCTAGGTGCTTTATAGCTGCGTTTTCAAACTACAAGTTGAGATTCAGGAGTGGACCCTGAAATTCAGTTAGCGAGCCCTGATTACATTTTTCTCCAATAATATAATGATAAGTGTTGCTTCGTTAAACTTAGGTTGTGTGTATATGCGCTCACACACACACACACACACACACACACACACATTCCACCACATTGTTAAAAAGAAAAATTTACTGTAGGATTAAAGTCTAGAGGTTTTTCTCAAATTTTAATGTGCATTATTGATCACGTGGGAATCTTGTTAAAATGTAGATTCTGATTCAGTGGGTGTAGGAGGTAGCCTGATATTCTGTGTTTCTAATGATTTCGTGGTACCCCAATTTTGACAGCTAATGCCCACGTTTTCATTCCAAGTAAAGAAAGAGAATTTGTAGCTTCTAAGTGAAAGGAGGTAACAATAGGAAGAAAATTTCAAATTTCCCTTCTTGCTGGGGTTTCCAGGTTTGCCCAAAACAATCCTAATTTACATCTGTTTTACAGTTCAAATACTAATAGAACCTCTTTTCTCTTAGATGGGTTCAGATCAGATAATGAATTATATGATCAACCTACTTCCAGCTCTGAAAAGATATAGATTCTGGATAGCGCTGTAGTCAGGAGATTTTCCAGCTGTTCAGGCAATGAATCTCTTTGCTTGAGAAAGATTACTTGCAGAGGCAGGTGTCAGGTTCGCTGGGAATCTAAGCAAATAGCCCTCCCCCAAACCCAATCCTGAAATCTTCCCTGTCGGTCTGAGTTCATTTGCTTCATCCTGGTACTTTAAGTCTTGTTCAGACTAGGACAAAAGCTGCCTTGAGATGTTGTATCTTTTAAGAAAATGGCACTTCCCAGCCCTCATGTTTAGGGTAAAGGAGATGCAGGATAACCAGTTGGGCTAAACATCTTGCCCACCAATAACCTAGCTAGAGCTAGGTTATTGAAGATTAGGAAGATTGAATTTAATATCCTGGTCCCCTCATTTCCTTCTCAACACCCCTCCCATGCCACTGCCATTCCTTAAGCAAGCATCTCTCAGCCATTCACTCTCTGTCAGGGTTTGGGCCCTTTCTTTCAGTTTCTCAAACCAGAGCTGAAGTCAACTTTGCAAAATGCACTCCTGGCTACACCAACCCTATGATTAAAAGAGAATATAGAAACCAAAATCCTTGTGCTTGCCTTTAACCCCCCCCCCCCTTGTAACCTGTCATTTGGCTTCCTTCATTCCCTGTCTGCTGAGCACCTCTCTACACTCCTCAAACATGCTTCTGTGTTCCCAGTAGAGAGAACCTTCTCCATTGTGTCCTTCCCTTCCTCTGTCCTTCCCTTCCTCTCACCTCCATAAGTACATCTTTTGGTATAAGTTTTCTTGAAACCATTTGCCTCTCTTCTTTTAGCACTTACTATAGCTTCAGTTTTATAATTATGTGTATCATTCTTTAATTTCTATTCCTATCCCCCATTCAACTTCAAATTTCGAGAGGGCAACCATTGTGGATTTCCCCCACTTACTGTTTCCAGCAACAAACCCATTAGAGGTGTTTCAGGATATTTATTGAAAAAATAAATGGCGGATGTGATAGAGATTCGGAAGAAAATTGTACTCAACCATCATAGGTACTTCATAAGTCTGGAGAAGACATTCTCTTACCTAATAATTTGAGATACAAACAGATTAGGTTTCAGCAAAGGTGATGTCAACACTACTTCCTTTTCCTAAGAATAGAGAAGTGTGGGGGTGTTTTTGTTTGTTTGGTTTTTGTTTTTTTCCAAATTTGCTCAAGTTCCTCTGGACAATAGAGATGTACTTTCTTACCTGGGCAATTTCAAAGACTGTTGTCATCCCACGGATGTGCCCTACATAGTTAGATGCTGGGTCTCTGCTATTTGATTCGTGGTGAAATGTTTCACCAGTGGTCTTTTTCACCATATGCCACTAATGTAGATTTTAATTTGGTTTATTTTTAACATTTCTGATTGAATATGCAATCACCTGTAAAGCTAAGGAGTGTCTGAATTCAGTATTGCCAAGTAAAAACCGCAACTAGTCTTTTAGAACTCTTTATGATAAATCGTAGGAGTGTAAACTCATACATATTGCAATTTGACACTGAAAAAGTTGTCAAGGTGCCCTTCCTTTGGGATTCTCTTTGAAAGGGAAGTCTGATACCCTCAATGGGGACATTGTTTTTACCTATCATTGTTTATTTGGCTTACTGTAATTTTCTGTGGGCTCAGCCAGTTAATAAATAAATGAAGAGGTTGGGTCATTTGCCACGGAAATGAAAAAAGGCTAACTCAGAGTTTAACAACAGAGAAGGTAATTGTAAAGCCCTTACCAAGTTGCAAAACAATAAAAATCAACTTGAACTTGAATCGGAGCTAAACAGCCTGATGATCTTTATTTTTCCAGTTTTATAAACTCTGTGCTGATAGGCACAAAGAATTGAACTGAGTCAAAGTGTGGTTGGTTTGAACCTTGCATTTCTCAATCGTAGTGAGAGAAAGACATCCTGCCCCCCTAAACTTTTTGATACACAGCTGTTGAGTTTACTGGCAGCCAGACTGGTGGACAGGGAGATTCCTCTCCTAATGAATCAATCATTCTGTGTTCTCAGCTCTTATCTCCTGACCAGTTTTCCTTCCATTGTGAAGCAAACCAATAAGCATTGAGACAATAGCAAATTGTTGAGGGTCACCCAACTTTAAGGGCCATCCACATGCTAACTCCCCCAGGAAGCACTTTGTGATTTCCCAGCCTCATCTGATCACTCCTCACCCAGGCAGGACCCAGCATTGAACATAATTCATCTATTTTTAAATATTTGCCCAATTATGACATACTTATTTCCTCCTTAGAATTCTATCCCACCAGTTGCAAAATCCTTGAAATCTTTTCAAATTATATCCCCACTTTGTGCCCTACAAATACGAATTACTCAATGGTATGTTTCCTGGTCTGCAGTAAAGAGAAAAATGAGAATATCTGTTTTGCTAATCCGTCCTCTCTCTTGCAGTTTTCGTAGATACTAATAAAAACTGCAATTATGCCATAGGTTTGCAGAAGGTATCAATAGATTCTTTTGGAAAAACATAACTTTTTAAACTACAAAGCAATGTATGTTAATTGTAGGTAGAAAAAAATATAAAATACAGTTAAACCAAAGCCAAAAATTAAAAAGAATTCTTAACCCTATTACCCAAAGATAATCATTGTTGGCATTTTGGAGCATATCCTTGCAGAACTACTCTAATCTCTCCTTTACAGATGAAGAATTTGAGGATTAGAGAGATTACATATTTGGCAAAGGTCACATAATTAGTAAGAGACAGAGCTCAAGTTTGCACTGGGCCTGTCTGGCTCCAGAGTCTGCACTCTGGAGAAAGCTGAACAGAAGGTTAATCCTGACCAGTCAAGGAGTTCAAGAAATGCCACCCCAAAGCTGCTTTGGTGTGCAGATGACCTTGAGCGGCAGGTATCTGGAGACAAGCCAATGTAGGGAGAAACATTTTCTGACTCCCCTTCTCTGCCTGAAGATAGATCCTCCAAAAGGAACTCAGTGGTCATGGGTCCCCTCCTTGAGAGCTTCAACAACCAGGGAAGGTCAACTCCTATCACAGGAGGAGAGACTAGAAGTTGACCCCCTGCCCAGACAAACTTTATCACACACCATCACCTCTTCTGAGGATGTACTAATCTTTTCCTGAAATCATTTCCTCTCCTGTAAGTTACCTACATCCTCCATCTCATTTTCCCTTTGAAGGGGATATATAAGTCCTAAATCTCACTGGGATTTTGAGTGTTCGGTTTTCTTTCCTGTGATACCCCTATACTCATAAGCTTGTGTCCCTTTTCTCCAGTTAATTTGCCTGTTATTTCATGGACTGTTTTTAAATTCTCAGGAGAGAGAGGGAACATCTTTCCTCCCCTGCACTGACCTAATAGCTCTAGCAGTTCTGGGTGACTCTGGAATGATCAAAGCTGTCCTTTGCTGTTGCCACCATCTCTCCTCTTACTCATTAACCAGTGCAGTCACCTCTCCATTAGAAAGTTGACGGCTTAGTCACACCTTGTCTTTAACAGGTAGTCAGTGGCTTGCTGACCCTTGGATTGCCTAGCACACACCCTCTCCCTGGGGATCCTCTCTCCTTCGGTTTCCATGTCCCTGCTGTTTCCCACACTGAGGATCACATCTTTGCCCCAAGTTTCCTTTGTTGAAGCTCTAATCCCCACGTTGACTATATTTGCCAACTGGGACTTCAAAAATATAATTAAGGCTAAATGAGGCCATCAGTATAGGCCCTTCACCCAACGTGTGATTGGGGTCCTTCTAAAATGAGGAAGCAACAGCAGGGATGTGGGCACACAGAGGAAAGGCCACGTGAGAACACAAGTGGAGGCAGCTGCTGCAGAGAAATCAAACTTGTCAGTGCTTTGGTCTTGAACCTCCAGGCTCCAAACCCATGAGAAAATAAATTTCTGTTGTTTAAGACCTGCTGTTGGGCTGGGGCTGGAGTTGTAGCTCAGCGGTAGAGTGCTTGCCTTGTACGTGTGAGGCACTGTGTTTGATTCCCAGTACCACATATAAATAAACACATATAATAAAGGTCCATCAACAACTAATATATATATATAATTTTTATATTAAAAAAAGACATGCTGTCTATGGTGTTTGGTTATGACAGTCCTGGCAGATAAATACACCTGCTTCCTGCCTGCCTAGCCAGTTGCTCCTTTTCTGTCTCTCTATTGCCTTGTTTTCTTCCTCTTATTTATTGGTCAAATGCTGATGCATGCAGTTCTGTCCTCAGCACCTTCTCTCACTCCTCCTGGGAGAACATGTATGCTTT